TGCTCCGGCCCAGCCAGAGCAGCCCCTGCCTGCGCCTCCCCTTTCCCCTGTTGTGGACAGGCTGAACCTTCCTGGGGGGTGCTCGGGGCCCACAGCAGATAGAGGAGCAGCCCCCACTGGTTAACCTTATGAGTAAGCGTCACCCATTAAAGGTGAGGCTTACTGGTTAACCGGTTAAATATTCACATCCCTACTATTTACAGAAGTAAAAAAGACAATTCATTAGGTTGTCACATCCATCCATGAAAGTGCAGGAAACAATCTCCATAAGAGAATTTATCTGTTATTAATCTGATCTGATACCTTATCTAAGAAAAGAATAGTGACTAGGAAACCTGAAACAGATTTTGATTTGGGGGTTTGATTTTTATATTTGCCCACACATAAAGATTTTCAAACAGAAAACTACTGGACCTATAAGTAGGTCTTGAGCAGTGTTGGAATTTAGCAGCATGGATGATGGATTTCCACTTTCATTTAGTATAATGTCCCAGCATAAAAGGTATAGTGTTCCTTGAACTATGGGGTACAGCCATAGGATACTCTGACATAATTCCCATAGCATTCATGGATATTCCAGTATAGCAGAGTATATTAAGCTAAGCAGGAAGGACTCTTATGTTCCACAAATGATAGAATATTTTTTTTCAAATCAGCTCAGAGTGCCCAAGGCTGGCTGTCTTTAATATCTAACAAGTGACCCATTGAAAAAATCAGCCTACAGGCAATGCGCCCCTTCCTCCCCAGTTCTGAGGATGCTTTACGCATTGGGCCAATAGGAACTGAGCAGATAACTAAGGTGACCAGATCTTCAGTAAGGAATACTAGGATGACATGAAGAGGGAGATCTGAAGAAGTGGGCTGTGCCCACAAAAGCTCATGAGACCATCTACATTTTTTGTTAGTTTCTAAGGCTGTTTCTCTCAAACTGTGGGTCCCGACCCCCTGGAGGGTCGTGAGCAACTTGGACGGGAGTCGCGGTATCACAAAGTTTGAGAACCCCTGCTCTAATGTGCTGCAAGACTATTCTTTTTTTTTTTTTTTTTTTTTTTTAGAGAGTGAGGGATGTTTCAAAGTGGGACTGGCATTCAAGGTATATAAAGGACAGGGGGCAAAGAAAGAAAATATGGTATCCGTATGCACTTCTCAACTAAGCAATGCCCATCCCAACTTATTCTTTAATGTACTCTTCTTCCCAGAGTAAAAATGGGGATGTACCATGTACCGTCAAGGTAGGAGGTGAGTATTTACCATCTGTGTCCCTTTTGCTATATTTTTCAAATCTCAGCTTCTTGCATTTTCCATTCTGTATCTACACACCCAACTCTTCCTTATTTAAACCCTCTCTTGTCTGAATTATTTTATTATTTATTACTAAACATAGAGGCTGTGTCTAGACTGGCCAGTTTTTCTGGAAAATCAGCTGCTTTTCCAGAAAAACTTGCCAGCTGTCTACACTGGCCACTTGAATTTCCGCAAAAGCACTGACTTCCTACTGTAAGAAATCAGTGCTTTTGGCGGAAATACTATGCTGCTCCCGTTCGGGCAAAAGTCCCTTTTGCGCAAAACTTTTGCGCAAAATGGCCAGTGTAGACAGCTGAGATTTTTTTTGCGCAAAAAAAGCCCCGATCGCGAAAATGGCGATCGGGGCTTTTTTGCGGAAAAGAGCATCTAGATTGGCCACGGACGCTTTTCCGCAAAAAGTGCTTTTGCAGAAAAGTGTCCGTGCCAATCTAGATGTGCTTTTCCGAAAATGCTTTTAACGGAAAACTTTTCTGTTAAAAGCATTTCTGGAAAATCATGCCAGTCTAGCCATATATTATAGTAGTGCATGTAGGCCCCAATATATATTAGGGGCCATTGTGCTAACCTCTGCACAAACAAATAATGTAAGGTCCTGAGAGTGGTGACCTTATTATCTTATTAATTGCACTTCTTTTGTCTCTGTGCTCTGTCATATTTTTCTTCACCTTTGTCTTCTTTTTCCTTTTCTCTGCTCATTTTTCTTTTCCTCCACACCTTTAAATCTATTCCCCCTCTTATTTCCTCCATATTTCCCCCTTATTCTTACTCATGTATTGACAGTTAAGTTTTATATTGATCCTCCTCCTTCTCCTGAAACAGTCAAACTGACTTCATTTTTGTACCCTTCCACCTTTGTCTCGACAAGCTACCATAAGGTAAGTGAAGAGAAACTGGCTAGGTTAGCACCTGTCTCAATACGGTGGCAATGTACTAAGCTCTTTATAAAGCTAGCAACACTCAGAATAGGTTGAGTGAATGACTCTATGTTGATCTGAATCTCTGATTGCACCTGCCCTAGAGAAGTTTGTACCCATTTTTCAGCAACAGTTTAGATGCACTATTAGACATGATGTAAGCTTTAGTGTGTACAGTGCTGAGGAGTTTTTACTCAACATTATAAAAGCCTGCTTATGTGAAAGGTTATAGTCAGATTTTCATGATGTGATGGTAAAAATGCCTGAGTCCATTTACACTAGCATTGTATCTGTTGATTGCAGTACTTCAGATGTACTTGTGCTGGAAAAGACTATAGACAATTCTTGTTGTTGTTGCATAAACAAGATCTTTGTGGGAGGACTACCTCAAACTCTCTGATGGGAAAGATAGATGACTTCACTATTTCTGAAAGGGTAAAGGATAATGTGGTAATAGGTGAAAGTCCTAGTGATGTGTGTGGTCAGAAAAATATAATTTCTCTGCAGGTTTATGATTAATATAGTAGTGGCATAAGTGTTCTATCTAGCCATCTAAAATGGTACAACTCCAAAGGTCTCAAAGCCCTTTCTAAATGTGAAAACAACAAGGAGTCCTGTGGCACCTCAAAGACTAACGTTAATTTGGGCATAAGCTTTCATGGATAAAACCCCCTTCATCAGATGCATTCTGAATGTGAGTTAACTTACATTTTAGAGACACTGAGTGCATAAGAACATAAGAACGGCCGTACTGGGTCAGACCAAAGGTCCATCTAGCCCAGTATCCTGTCTACCGACAGTGGCCAGCACCAGGTGCCCCAGAGAGGGTGGACCGAAGACAATGATCAAGCGATTTGTCTCCTGCCATCTCTCTCCAGCCTCTGACAAACAGAGGCCAAGGACATCATTTTATCCCCTGGCTAATAGCCTTTTATGGACCTAACCTCCATGAAATTATCTAGCTTCTCTTTAAACTCTATTATAGTCCTAGCCTTCACAGCCTCCTCTGGCAAGGAGTTCCACAGGTTGACTACACGCTGTGTGAAGAAGAACTTTCTTTTATTCGTTTTAAACCTGCTACCCATTAATTTCATTTGGTGTCCTCTAGTTCTTCTATTTAGGGAACTAATAAATAACTTTTCTTTATCGGCCCTCTCCACACCACTCATGATTTTATAGACCTCTATCATATACCCCCTCAGTCTCCTCTTTTTTAAACTGAAAAGTCCCAGTCGCTTTAACCTCCCCTTCATGTTCCCTTGATTCATAAAGCATAGCAATATACAGTTAAACTCCATTGGTCCGGCATCTGACGGTCCGGCACTCCTGATGGTCCAGCACCATCAGGAACCCGGAAGTGCTCCGCAGCCGGACCATTGGAGCTGCTCTGCCCCCAGCTTCCCCTATTCAGCCGCTGCTAAAACTGACCAGCCGCTGAATCGGGGAAGCCGGAGGCAGAGCAGCTGGGGCACTGTCTGGGGGGGCCCAC